AGAGAGAGAGAGAGAGAGGGGGGGGAGAGAGGGAGAGAGAGAGAGGGGGGAGATAGAGATAGAGATAGAGAAAGATATATAGAGAGAGAGGGGGGAGAGAGAGAGAGAGAGGGAGAGAGAGAAAGAGACGGAGAGAGAAAGAGACAGAGAGAGAGAGAAAGAGAAAGAAATGAGTGCACCTGAAAAGAACAAAATAATAAGAGGACAAACTCACGGAGCTTTCTCTCCATCTCCTCACAACGTCTGATCTCATTAACAAATTTCCTCTGAAACGCATTCACATCAGGGTTCAGCTGAGGAGGTCAAGGGAGAAAGGTCAAATTAGTCTCTCGCATAAATGTTACCAGAGATCACAAAGTACACAATGGTGCAGCACAGAACAGAACACTCTGATACAATATTTTAACTACAATAGGGTATAGCCTGGTAGGAGTTTTACATCCCTTTCAACATGGGAAGAATATTTAACAGGCATCTATTTCTTTTAACTTTAAGTCCGCTTGCCATTATATGTGATAAGACCTTGTCAAGTGCATTGAAAACAACGAAAACTCCCCAAAAGAAGAAGCTGTATTGCACCTTAGAAATACGAACCAGGATTGCTAAGGCTCCACATCACACACATAGTCAGCTGTTTGACACTCATTAAACAGCTAACCATTACTCTAATCTTACTTTCTTGGACAATAAAACCTCATTCCAGTTGCGCAAGTATGTACCCAGTAGCCTACCTCCAAGATGATCTGAAAAGTGTCCATACTGACGTAATGAATTTACAATCAAAATGAGTTTTTACCAGTCTATCATACATTTCACTCTGGAATCTTTTCATGTGGAATAAATCTGTCTCATATTTCTAACATACGTTTTATCACTCAGGAACTCACATCTCTGAACTGCACCAAGCCCAGTTCCCCGAGCTCTGAGACACAGGCGTAGGCTGCCTCAGACTGGAGGAACATTTGACACAAGGTCATCTCTTCTCCTCGGAGTAACGTATCCATGGTAACGGGTCGTCGTACCACACCTCACAGATTCAACTTCCTCTTGGGAATCAGTTTTGTAGATGTCCCCAATGGCAGAAAATTTGACACCAGGTCTGGCTTCTACCGCTGTCTTTGCTTCCGAGTCCCTAAGGCTGGCAAAGTCCAAAAGCCCAAGTGTGGAAGAGAAAGGAACAAGGAATCCCAGATGTCTTCAAATTCTGTGAGCACCAGTTTGGGTGAAAATCCAATACTGAGTTAGCTCCTGCTGCTTCCAAACCTGAAAAAGAAGAAGCAAAAAAATTTAATGATCTGTTTGCGACATATCGTATTAAAATGAATTTAAAAAAAACAAAAACCAGATTGTGAGTACAGCAGAAGTTACAGGGTTAGCTCTGCAATTCCCTGATCAAGACTGGACCCCCCTATAGTCAACACAGTCAACACAAGGTAACTCAAACCCCGGGTGCCTGACCAGGGATCAACAACTCTACCTTCAGGATAATATAAACTTAAACCAGTGGTTCTTTTCTTAATCCAGGTTCAATCTGACCCCAGGGGTTCAGTGAGTCGGTCTTAGGAGTTTGGCGGTGGTCACGAAGGGTTCAGTAAAAATCAACAAGGTTAAGTTCTTAACTGAAAGACCATAAAAAGACAACATACACCATCCCGACACCCCATGCATGCAAACACACCAACACACCCAAAAAAAATTTGAATTTCCTTCACCACGCAACACCGCCAACCACCCGCAAAAAGATTTCAGGCTATAGACATCCAACCCTTCAAAAATTGTTAGAACATTTTAATAATCCAATGCCCCCCCCCCCACACACACACAGACAATGAAAGTTGACAGAGGACAGGGATATATCCATGTTCATATGAAGACACTAATCATTAAAAAGAATTACTTTGGCAAAAACAACAAAAGAAGGCCCAAAACATGCAAATCAAACCTCCAGGCCAACATCAGAGACTGCTGACTGAAACAAAAAATAAAAGACAGAACAAAACAAAATAAAAAAACTTTTTAAAAAATGAAAACAAGTAGACGTCCCTGAAAAATTCCAAAAAAACAAAAAAGTTGTTATTGCTTTTCTTGACACGCCCCGTGCCATTTCCTTCTCCACTTCTCAGCTTGAGAATTGTAGGTTAGTCTAACGGCCAACTCTTCGCTCTCTGTTCGTGTTCCGCTGGTGTCCGGCTGACAGGAGGGACAGCTCTGACTCATGTGCACCATCATTCAGGACAAGACGAACCATAATTTATGTCCCCGTCCCTGTCAATCACTGAGCCAGCGATGAGTTCTGTCCTGGTCTAAGGTATCAGACCTCTTAAAGCGAAACTGAAACACTCTGTATATTCAAACACATTTTCGAAGTCTTATTGCTGTTTGTAACAAAAATCTGACAGTAATCAAAAGCAATATTCAAAGAGAGAAGTACAAGGGGTTACTGTGAAACACAGATTGACAGGCGGTAGATTAAATCAAAAACGAAAAGTTATCGACATTCCAAACGGAACAAATTCTCTTTCAATACTTTTGATGTTTGTACTTTCCATGCCCACGGGGTGTTTGCCAGACTGTGAAAAGGGCAATATAAAACGTGCAGTTGGAAAGATGACTAATTATTGAGCAGATGAGTGGCCGACGGAGGGAACTTTGTTCTCATTTGTAAGGCCTCTAGATTTGCTTGAAAACCCGGTGAATTCTATGCAGTTACTTTCACTAGTTTTTAATATTTTTAAAAAAAATTCGAAGTATAGTGCAAGGGATTCATTACAGGACTATATTCTGTTAACCATGCATTCCCGCGAAAATCACAGGAGGCAATATAAAATGTTTGCTCCACTGAAGGTGAGTTATGTATTTTTTACACTTTAATTAAAGTAATTTTTCCCGCATCCGACATTGGGGATTGTTTGTTAGTGAGACAACGTCCTGGGCGTTCGGTACATTGTTGTAAGGTGGCCAGTTCCTTTCAGCGCCGCCTTTACTTCCCCAACTCGAAGTCAGGTACCCGTTACTGCTGGGTGGGCAAGAGGGGGGGGGGGACCCGTGTCTGAACCGAGGCTCGAACCTGGACTTTCCGTTTCGGAGACAAGCGCACTAACCGCTCCACCACCGCATCCTTCAATTAGAAAGCGAAATATCGATAAAAGGAGTTTCTGAAACTAAATTCTTATAAAAATGCATATAGGGCTTATAACCAATGTTCAGTAGATCTAAATGAAAAATATTGTTTTGGGAAGATAACTGCACCAACATACTTCTGTTTCCAACTTTAAGAGTTCCCTTTTATTATTAGTCCGAAACCTTAAATAAAATATTATGTTAAAAGAGAAGATTGTGAATATCAGTGCCATTCCAAGAAAAATGATAGTAGGCGGCTCTTGACGTCTAGAGGCACAGTGTTCACCTCTCATTCAATAGGTTCCTGGTTCGTAACCTGACAGTGACGGAAAATTTTCTTCCCTGACGTTTTCTCGTTTCACCTCCTTTCATGCTCTCGAACCGTTTTCTGTCGTTTGCTTTCGTCTCCACCTTTTTGCTACTACTACTACTACTACTACTACTAC